GGACATCTCCTATTCGGAGCATTAATGGTCATAAATATTATTTGGTTCTTCTTGATGATTTCACACATTATGTGTGGGCTATCCCTCTTGCTTACAAATATCAAGCCTTCCAAAGCTTTATACACTATAAACAATATGTGCAAACCCAATTTGAACGTCCTGTTAAATCCTTTCAAAGTGACCACGGTCGTGAATTTGACAACGACCCCTTCAAAAAGTTTTGCATTGAGCATGGAATGGTTTTTAGATTCTCTTGTCCTCACACTTCTTTACAAAATGGGAAAGTAGAACGCATAATTAGAACCATCAATAATGTCAAACGCATCTTATTATTTCATGCCTCATTACCCCCGTCCTATTGGTCACATGCTCTTGAGACGACCACATATCTTCTCAATATTTTGCCAACAAAATCGCTTAAGCAACTAATCCCAGCTCAGGCTTTGTTTTCTAAAAACCCATCTTTGATCACTTGTGGGTTTTTGGATGTCTTTGTTCCCGAATCTCTCAGGTACAACTCCTAATAAACTTGCACCTAGATCCACTTCTGGCGTTGTGTCTTTTAAGGGTATCCTTCCAACCATCGTAGTTACAAATGTCTAGATCTTGCAATCCGCAAAGTCATTATTTCAAAACACATAACCTTCAATGAGTCTATTTTTCCCTTTAATTAAAAACTTGGAGAGGGTTTTACATTTTTCGTTTTAATTAAAAACACGTAGCCACATCTCTCGCAATCCGCAAAGTCATTATTTCAAGCCCAAGCTCAAACCTCACACTCAAGGCCAACCCACGAACCCACCATCACCATCGGGTGCTAGATTCCCAGCGGCCCAACCAGTGACCGCAAGTCCTGGTCCAACTAGCGCTAGGTCTCCAACGGCCCATCTAGCGACCAGCCTTCCAAGCTCCCCTAGTTCTGAGCCCAAATCGCCTCCTTCAGCCCATCAGCCACATAATGCCTCTAGCCCACATGCTTATACCCCTTATAATCGCCAATCTTCCATCATCTCAAGACCCAGCCGGCTTTCCTCACCTCAAATGTAGACGAGATCTCGTCATGACATTATGAAACCAAATCCATATTTGTCAAAAAAAAAAAAAAAAAAAAAAAACATTTATACATGCCTTAAAAGTATGACAAATAATTATGTACAACAGTACAAGTATATTTCAATTTATAGGCTAAATACACCAATGTGGTAAAAAAAATCCAATTAACCTAATTATAAGATTTTAACCATCAAAAAAAAAAATTATAAGATTTTAACAAAATTTTGTAGGTATAAATCTTTTTTTTTTTTTCTTTTTTGTGTAAATATTTTAAGTATAGATAAATGAAGATAAAATTTATCAAAAATAAAAAATAAATCCTCAATTACACATTTACGCCTAACTTCCCTCAAAAAACATAAAACAAAATATTTACTTCCCTCAAATAATCCTCAATTACGCCTAACTAACTACATGTTTTTTTTTTTTTTACCTCATTTCCGTTTTATATTATATTTATTTTATTTTTTTTTAATTTTATTTTTAGAGCTTTAAAGTTCTTCATCGATGGTGATTATGATTAAAAAAAACATCAAGTATCATTTAGACTAATGATTATTGTACATGAACATGATACATGAGTTTTAAATTGCCTTTTTTTATAAGTTACATTTAGATTAATTATCCCTTGAGATTTGATTTAAATGAATTAACTAATTTGATTTTCTATGATTTAAAAATGTAGGCATGCATAGTTGTGATAATTTGACGTTGCTTTCACAAGTTTTTCATAAATTTTGGTAATTTACTGGATTTATTGTTGAAGGATGAAGGTAAATAATGAGTAAAAAATGGAGGTTCAATGTTAACGTTGACAATGGAGGTTAATAATAGAGATGAATCACGATGGAGGCTGAAGATTTTTTCTTTTTTTTTTTTTTTTGATTTGTTATACTTCTTGGATAATCATGTTTGATTAATAATGTATAATTAATCAATCTTACTTTTACATTCTTAATAAATCAACCAAACAACTTTTTAACATATCAACGATTTAGATCTAACATTTTTAGATCGATGAAGGATGAATGTTTTTGGTTAACAATGACATAAATTGAAGATGAAGATCAATTCAATTCATACAAAGGTTAATAATAAGGTTAAAGATTATATAGGTTGAAGATGAAATATTTAACATTTGAAAAAAAAAAATAAATAAATAAATTTTAACTAAATTTTTTTTTATGTGTAAAATCAAAAGATAATAACCAAATAATCCCTTGATGACTGTGTAACATAGGTGTTGAATTGGACGGCTAGGATTAGACATATAATATATCACCGGTTTAGATTTAAATTATTACCGTAGTCCGTAGTCGACAACCATGTTAGAATTTTTACGGTTAAAAGGGAGAGACAAGCGTCATGTTGAGGTACGTAGGCAGAGAGTTTACGGTAGGAGGAAAGGGAGATGGGGTGGGAGTTGGGGAAGAGGTTGCCAGAGGTGGGGGAGGTTCGAGCGGCTAGGATGTCAAGGAGAGTGGATTTGCCAGCACCACTTGGGACGACGATTGCTAGTATTTGGGAAGGAAAGGCGGTAAATGAGATGTCTTGGAGAATGTAGGTAGGTAAGGTGGAGGTGCAATCTTTGAAGATGAAGGTTGGTGTGTAGGAAGAAGTAGTGGAGTTGTTTGTGGTGGTTTTAGTGTAGGAGATGGATGTGGCTGTTAGTTTGTAGGTTTTTCGTGGCGGCGGTGACGGCGAGGGTGGTGGTGATGGGGGAGAGGATGGAGTGAGGTTATTATGATGCTCCATGGAATTGGAGGAATGAGATGTGTAAATGGTTGTGAAAATGAGGGTGTCTTAAGCTTAGCTTATTAATTGGCTTGCATTTGAGATTTTTAAAGGGGCCAAGTGGAGTGGGGTTGGATGTGGAGAGTTTCATGTGATTTTGTAGTACTGTACTTTGGAATGTAGTACTAATTTGAATTACTACGAGTACGTAACAAATTAATGCAATTTGTACTTGTAGTATGAACGAATACTATTTATTAAAACTAACTTTTTACGAAGCTTTCTCCTAAGTTAAATAATAAAATCTTAATACCATTTTCACAACCTCGTGCACGTAAATTACAAGAAATATTACCTTACTTAAAAATCCCATAAAAACAATTGAAATAACACTTTTAAACCTTCCAATAACTTAAGATCAAAAGTTCAAAAGTGATGCTCCAAGTTTCTAAAAGTATATATTCCCTCTGTTCCTTATTTGATAGCCTCTTATGGTGAAATTTTACGGGAATTAAGAAACTTAAATAAGAAGAAGTAAAAGTATATTGATAAGGTAAATTTACATGGGTTATGCAAAAAAGTAGAGAGAGAAAGTAATACAAGTATTTGGAAATACAAATTTTACATAGGAAAGCTTAATTTGCACAAATATTATTGCAAATTGAAGGAAATTTTGGTAAAAAATTACTCCCTCCACCCCTTATTGATAGTCCTTTATGTGCAATTTTCACGGAAATTAATAAACATAGATAAGTAGTATTAAAAGTACATTGAAAAGGTAAATTTACATTGGGTATGCAAAAAGTAGAGAGAGGAAGGAATAAAAATACATGATCTGAAAAAGCAAAATTTACATGAGAAAATTAAATTTGCACAATTATTGTTGCAAAAGAATTTTGGTAAAAGATTAATATTAATTGTACTTGAAAAAAGCAAATGAGAATATTATTTTAGGAATTAAAATTAGCCATAAGGGACTATCAATAAGGCACAAAGGGAGTAATACTAATAGTAGTTGGAAAAAGCAAATGAGACTATTATTTTGGGACTTAAATTAGGCCATAAGGGACTATTAATAAGGGACAGGGGGAGTAATATCTTGAAAATATGCCTTTCTTCTTAAACTTTCACCTCGTATAACTAGCTAGTAGAGGTTTGAAATTCAGCTTTTAAAAAAAATTACAAAATATGAAATTTAGCAAATTATTATCTTAATTTTTTCAATAAAATTATTTCCATCATCTTATCAGTCATTGCATGTATCTCTTACTCATGCATTTACACTTTAAATTTAAGTTAATGACTACATACACTAAAAAATTGTTCTATTAGTAATAATTTAAAGGAAGTTTTCACTTTTGCTACCACTCAAACACCCCTATTACACTTTTTCTATCCATCTAAAATTTTATTTTATTTTACTACCACCTAAAATCACATAATTTAAATTTCACTATCATTTAACACTTTCAGTTATTATTTTTGTTAGTGAGATCCAGCCACCTTCACTGTCACCTTCCGGCCACCACTCCCTCCTCAGCCACCCTAACTGCCTCCTATCAGTGTAGTAAGTTAAGGGTTCGAAAATCTGAATTATTGGTTCTAATTACTAAGATTATGAAAGATGATAACCAGTGATTATGTTGTTAGAAAAGAAAATTATGAGTCTAATCGATAATTGAATCAAATATCCCTAAAATTTTGAGCCTTATTTGATAATTGTATCAAATTTGATTGCTAATGTATTGCAAAACCCTTAAATGTTAGGATTGGACTATGAAATTAGATCTCTTTTGTGTTGGATAATTAAGTTAACTTTAGTTGTAATGTGTTGCAGGGTTTGATCGAAAGAATAACTCTTTAATGTCAAATAGACATTATCTCCCTCCTCCCCTTATTCAGGGACGGGCCTTGATTGATGAGATTAATGAGATTGAAGATAAACTTTTTGAATTGTTACTTGATACAAAACCATTGAGGGCGTACTGGTTGAAGAAGATGAATGATGATGCTTATGAAGCCGAAAACTTGATTGACGATTGTATAAGTTTTGAAGCGAAGAAGAAAAAGGCACAATAGTAATGTCATTGACGTAATATCTTATTTCTGCTGCAGCATTCCCCGTATTCGTCGTAAAATTCTTCAATCAAAGAGTTTAATTAGTCGCATATACACCCATGTTGATGATATCATGGGTGGCAACATTCGTTACAATGACAAAAGATTTAGTCAGCTGCGTCGTCAATTTTGTTGGTGACATTCGCTTAATAGGAAGAGAACAGGACATCGTTGATTTGGTTGACTTGTGTTGCCGTTTCACCAACAATGATGCAAATCTCAAAGTCATAGCAATTATGGGTATGGGAGGTATTACCTTTTCTTTACAACTCGATTCTATTTCTATGTTTGTGTATGCTTAGAAAATGTATGCTGTTATGTATTATGTTAAGCTCCAAACAAGTTTTATATTCTTCATTATTCTGTGATAGGTTTGGGAAAGACAGCTTTGGCCAAACATGTTTCTCAGGCAGAACAAGTGAAGAAATTTTTTAATCATCAAATAATCTGGCTCACCGTGACCCCTACTTTTGATTTGATGAATATCTTGAGTAATATGGTGGCGAGGCTTTATGGGATATTTTCAGGGAATTTGGATCGCCAAACACTTGTATTAATGCTTCAAGCCAAACTTGGGAAAGAGAAATTTTTGATAGTGTTGGATGATGTATGGCCTACTTTCAATTGGACAAGTTTATGCTTGGTATTTCATGATATTGGTGGATTGAGGGGTTCCACAATTTTGGTGACTTCAAGGAACAGAGAAGTGGTGTCAAGAATGGAAACTTACAATTACATTAGCCATAATAAGAAAATCATTCATAGACCCTTTATTTATTCGTTAATGAGTTTAAAATGGGAGGATAGTTTGTCCTTATTGAAGGAGAATCTAGCTGGTTAAGTTCTGCATAGTGAGAAACAAAGGATTGCACATACACTGTTGATATGTGACGGTGTTCCTCTTGCCATAGAAGAGATAGGGGACTTAGCTTGCTAAGAAATCAGAGCATAGAAAGGTAGAAGAAAATAGAGGAAAGTGATTTATGGATGGAAAATGTATGAATGGAAGAAGATGAACTTTATGTTTTACCTTTTCTCAAATTAAGCTTTGAACACTTGCTAAACACATCTTTAAAAAAATGTTTTTCCTATTGTGCAATTTGAAGAGGACGAGCTCATTGATAAGGCACAATTAATTTCTATTTGAAGTTATGTACGTATGTTGATCACGGGTATGTTCCTAGCTTAGAATTTTTTATTTCACTGTAGGTATTTAAGGGTGTTAAGATTAGATTGTAGGGAGGTATTGAACATGAGGTTGCTTGGTATCCTAAGGCATCTAAGTATCTTAATATTACTGTTTTGAACCTCGAGATGATTCCTAAAGAAATCAAAAACCTTTTCCATCTTCAATCCTTACAAATTCAAGTTGTTGAACGATCAAAGCCTAATCTTCCACCCCTTATTTGTGAATTAGCAAAATTGCGGCACATTTATGTTAATTGTTCCATCAGCATTCCTAAAGGCTTAGGCTATTTAACTGATTTACAAACTTTGCCTGCAATTAATTTAAAGCATGATTGTGGTGGAACGTTGAGTGATTTGGCATTGTTCAAAAAGCTCGGAGGATTATTGGAGATTAGTGGTTTAGATTTCATAAATGGTGAACAAGCTAGAAGCTTGATTTTAGCAGACAAAACAAAGGTTTGCCACTTGATCCTACAATGGGAACCTGACTGCGAACAAGCTCTGCAACCCAATGGGAGCTTCTTTGCCAAGTTTGAGGCTAATGAAGTTCTAGAGGCCCTACGACCCAATGAAAATTTGTTTACACTTAGTATTTATAACCATGGGGGCACAACATTTCCTACTTGGTTGACAGCCATAGTTACCCCACTTCAAAACCTCGTTTCTCTTGAAATGCGGAACTATGATGGGGAGGGATGTCTCAATCTGGAAAACTTTAGATTTCTTCATATATTGTCGCTAGATTTGCACCAGGTTGACCATTTCATTCCCAAACGATGGATTCCAATGCTGCAAACTGATTGAAGAATTCAAGGTAATTAATTGCTTTGAAGTTAACACCATCCCAGCTTTCGAAACTCTGGATTATTTCATCGACTAGCAGAAGAAAGATTTTCAAACGTGAGCTCGTAGGGTTGGCAAGTCTCCCTTGTTTGAATAGTTTGTGGACTGATGAATTGTTACCAAGGGACTTGGGTGAATGTAGTCCTGTTTGCAAATCCCTCAAATTGATTTCATTGGATGATTATGATGTAGAAACACTTCCTGTCCAACTTCAGCATCTAGTGTTACTGACATCTCTGCAGATCAATGGTTTTACAAGGTTGGAAATATTACCTGATTGGCTTGGGAAATTTACATTTCTTAAATCCCTAAGTCTTCGTAATTTGCCAAATTTGAAGCGTCTTCCATCCCAAGATGCTATGCAACGTCTCCACAACTTGACGAAATTCTCCTCTAAAACTTGTCCTTTCTTAAATGATAAACTCAGGAGGAAGTAGAGTAAAGAGTGGTCTAAAGTTGCCCATCTCTTGGATGTCTATATTGACGGCGAGGTAATACCAGTGCCCTGTGGTTACATCTATTAATGTTTTTTGCTTCATTTGATCTTTAATGATTTAAGCTTTACATCATTTATATTTCCCAAACTTCTCTAATTTTGAAATGCTGACATCTGCAGGTACCTACAGTCACTTACATTCAATAAATATTCCACTCTCTAGATCGAATACTGCTGCAAGCATTTTTTGTTGATGGTTTGGCTGTTATTACTTGCATGCTTTCCTTCCGACTTAATATGCAACAATTCCTGTTCTTTGCAATTGACGCTGATTTGGGATATCAAGATGGAAGTGTACGTGTATGGTGGAATACCATGATCTAAGCTTGCAAGACTACCTTGAATAAAATATAATTGAAGTGTTAGCTCTCTGGTTTTTTTTTTTTTTTACATTATTATTTATTTACTTTGACATCATTCACTGTATTAGTTTCCACACTTGATCTTTCAACTCTTTTCTGAGAGGTTGTAGGTATCTTTTTTTTGCATAATAAATATATATTGGATTTGATGAACCTAAATTTCTGGCCAGACCACTTGTTGTAAAGTCTAATACTCATTAGGTGGTTTAATAGTCTTTACACTTGGAAGTAAAGTAGTCTTTCATAAATAAAAATATATAAGAATCATAGATTCCTAATTGAAAGTTGTTTAATTTATGATACCCACTGATCAATTGGGACTAGGGAGCTTAATGTATATACTCTTGAATTCTTGATTCGATTGCATAGATTTTATATTTTTGTATAGGGAAAAGATTAGTCATAAGCTGATGATTGAAGACTGTTTAACAAGGGGTATTGGGTGATTGAGCTAGTGTATACAAGGTGTGCATCAGTGCATGTTGCCCCTCTTATGAAAGCTGCTTGTTTCCTAAACCCCTTCCATAAGCAGCCTGACGTAAATGAGGTAAAGTTGAATCATGGGAAGAGATTTTTAGATTCTCTTACTAGGTGTCCAGTCATGTGCTCACAGGCGCAGGACTGAATGCTCCAAAGTTATGGTAGTAGGTATCAAGGATCACACAATGGGAACAAGCTTGGGTTCAATTGCTGAACTGGTAAGTTTGATTAGTTCTCTTAGTTGAATGAAGCAGCATATGGCATTTTGACATGAGAAATCTTGGTTTGACTTTGCATCAAAAGGGATAAACTTTTTGGTAATTTTAAGGTGTCGTTTGGTTTGGGGAATATGGATAGGGTAGAACATTGGGGAACTTTCGGCCTCTGTATATTGCTCATGTAAACTGAGTAAAACCTTGAAGTTTGCTACATAGTTTTTCTTTGAAATAGTGGTGGCCTGGCTTCTAAACTTTCTGAGGTAAGATGTTTTTGCAAGTATCTTATCGAATGATCAGAAAACTCTTGTTGTTCTTTAAAGCGCTACATGTAGGAGCTTTAATGTGCAGATATTTACATAATCTTTAGCTTTCTTCCTCTCCTCCCCATTGCGCAATCACTTTTCTCTCTCTTTTTTTCCACACCTACTTCAAATACATCAGCTGCAATGCTGCATACTTGTATAGTTGTATCATGCTAAATTTCTAATCAATTGAGGGTAGGGTGGGGGGAGCAAAACTGGATACTGTCTTGCTTTCTCTGATATTCCTATACACTCAGCTTTCATTCCTTCTATTTGATTAAACTGTTAAATCCTTGCAGTGAGTGTAAAAAGTGTCTTTATTTGTGGTTTGGTTGTTTACCAATTAATTATTAAGGAATAATTAGAGTATCTAATTATTCTTTCTGTTATTTTGTAAATATCTTTTATTTACTTAGTCAATCTTGATAGGATTGCTTTTCCTTATTTTTAGAGTAGTTATAGCTAGTCCTTATCTTTCTTTGTATAATGTAGTCGGCTACTTGTATACTCCTAGGGTAACTCTAGTTTGCCTATTTAAAGAGGCTAAAGTAAATAATCAAAGCATCAAATCTTTTACTAATCTTATATGGTATAAGATTCTAGATCCTAAACCTATATTTTCTTATCATTTTTTTTCATCCATTAGCAATGGTGAACGGCACTATTATCCCTAACCACACAGACCCTTCCAAGCCCTTTACCCTCATTCAAGTTCATAATTCCATCAAGTTAACCCCTTCTAATTATGTTGCTTGGAAAACTCAACTTCAAGCCACACTTCTTGGTTACGATTTATGGAAGTTTGTTGATGGCAGCTTTCCATCTCCCCCCACCTTGATCACCACTGATGATGTTTCCGTGGCAAACCCAGCAGCCCTAACATGGTTTCGCCAAGATCGTTTGGTCTTTGGTGCAATTTGTGGGCACTTTATCTCAAGATCTTGTTCCTCTCGTGTCCCAATCTGGGATTGCTCAAGAAGCATGGAAAATACTTGCGTCTACTTACGCAAATCCCTTGAGAGGACACTTTAAGCAAATTAAGAACCATCTTGCTAAAATCACTCACACTACTCAATCCATTGCAGAGTATATGTAATCCATCAAACAATGCACAGATCGACTTGCGGCAATGGGAAAACCAATGGACCATGAAGATATTATTGATAAGGTATTAAATGGTCTTGATTATGACCAATATAAGTATTTCATTGATGCAGTGAATGCATGAGACCTGCCAATATCCTTTGAGGAGCTTCATGAGAAGCTAATTACTAAGGAACTCACGGCTTCTGTCAAGGCATCCCCTTCTCTTTTTCCTGCCACAGTCAATGCAGCCCACCACCACACTAAACATGCCACAAACACAAGCAAACATTACCCAGGCAGCCAACATTCCATCTCTCGCAATGACCAAGCACCAAGACCACAACGACCTTATCTCGGCAAATGTCAGTGGTGTTGTGAACAGGGTCACTCTCTTAGTCACTGCCTAATCTTTAAGAGTCAATACCCCTCTATTCAAGTGCCTACTTCTACTCATGCTCGTGCTGTTCAAAAAGGTTATGTCCCACCTTTTCAAGCTCCACAAGCCCATGTTGCAACTGCGGGTGCTCTTCAATCCAATGCTTGGCTGTTGGATAGTGGTGCATCTCACCACGTAACCAATGACCTTGCCAACTTATCTCTCCATGCTCCCTATGATAGCACCGAGGAACTCGTGATTGGTGATGGTTCAACCCTTCCTATTCAGAACACTGGTTATTTCTCCCTCTCAACCCCTACTAAAAAATTTCATTTTTCTAATGTCTTACATGTGCCTTCCATATCTCGTAGTATTCTTTCCATATCTCAATTTTGTAGAGAAAATAATACTAGTATTGAGTTCTTATCATCTTTTTTTCGTGTTAAGGAGCTTTCGATGGGCACAATCCTACTACAGGGTCCAAAATTGATATATGAATGGAGTCCAAGCCCACCTCAAGCCAATGTATCTCTTAAACTACCTAACCATGATTGGCATCATCGTCTTGGTCATCCATCATCATCTATCCTTAGGATTTTGAAGTCTATTTTCAATTTAGCAATTTCAGATTTTCCTATGTCTCGATGTAATGTATGCAATATGAATAAAAGTCACAAATTGCCTTTCTCTTTATCATCTCTCTCCTCAAATGCACCACTTGAGCTCATCTTTACGGATATTTGAACTTCACCAATATTATCTCATGATAAATATAAATATTATGTCATTTTTGTGGACCATTATACAAAGTATATTTGGTTTTATCCTCTTAAGAAGAAGTCTGACACTTATGATGTGTTCTTGAGGTTTAGAGCCTTGGTTGAAATTTTTTTTTATCGTAAAATAATTAAGGTTTTTTTCTGACAATTGAGGCAAATATGAAAAACTTACACCTTATTTGTCTTCAAATGGCATATCTCACCTCACTTCTCCCCCGCATACTCTTGAGCATAACGGGTATGCGGAACGTCGTCATAGACATATTGTCGAGGCTGGTCTGTCCTTGCTCACCCATGCCAATCTCCCTCTCACATTGTGGCCACATGCGCTTGCAACTGCCACATATCTCATTAATAGGCTTCCCACTCCGACTCTAGATAATCAATCTCCTTATCTTAAGTTATTTGGCAATTCACCTCAATATCATAAGCTTAAAAATTTTGGATGTTTATGTTACCCTTGGCTAAAGCCATATTCCTCTCATAAGTTGGATCCTAAGTCTCTGCCTTGTGTATTTGTTGGGTACTCACCAACTTAAAGTGCCTACTATTGCTTACACCCCTCAACTAATCGTATTTATAAATCAAGGCATGTGATATTTGTAGAAGATGTGTTTCTTTTGCTGATTTGTGCAGAAACTATTCTACTCCTTCTACGGTCCCTTCGGTGGATGAATGGTGTGTCATTAATGTGCCAATTATATCACCAATGCAAGCTCCAACACCACCTGTGCAACACTCACAACCACACTCTCCTTCACCCAATGCTTCCGCCACAATAACCACGCCATCATCCACCTCCCCACCACCACCACCACCTCCACCTCATCCCCCTCCCTGTTCAACTAGGACGATCGTTACAAGGCTCTAGAATAATATTATTAAACCAAATCCAAAATTTGCTCACCATCTCACCACAACTTCACCACCAACAGAGCCCACAAACATCACTCAAGCTTTGAAAGACCCTCAATGGCGTGCTGCAATGACAGAAGAACATGATGCTCTAACCCGTAACCGTACTTGGGATCTTGTACCGTCACACTCATCTCAAAATTTGGTTGGTTGCAAATGGGTTTATCGCATCAAATACAAGTCCGATGGAACTATTGAATGCTACAAAGCTCGACTAGTAGCCAAGGGGTTTCACCAACGCCCAAGTATTGACTTTTCAGAGACATTTAGTCCTGTGATAAAGCCAACTACGGTGCGGTTAATGCTTTCTCTTGCGGTGACAAATGGTTGGTCAATTAGACAATTGGACATCAACAATGCTTTTCTCCAAGACTCTCTCAAGGAGGATGTTTATATGTCACAACTACCAGGTTTTATTGACAA